GAATGTATCACTGACTGGGTATTTATCGTTCTCATCGATGGGTTATATTCAACGGTTTTCTGGTGTGGCAATAATCCTGTTGGCCTGTTGTACCATTATTAGTATATTCTGTTGGATTAGCAATTTTATTTAACTTGAATCAAGTTAGCGATAAAACACGTATTCAACTATCAGGCAAACGAAAATCAAAAGGCCATCCCAAGAAAGATAGTACAACTTTAAATTTTTTAATAGATATTAATAAAACTGTCTCAATGAATATGTTTGTGTTGTACAATATACTTTGTTGAGAAATCAAAATATGATAATGCATACTGGAAAATTTGGTAACCAAAAGTATCTTTTTTCGGTGATTATTTATACCTAAAGAATTTGGTGATCAAAAGTACATTTACTCTTCTTTAAATATAACAAATAAAAAGAAAGATATACTAATAAAACTAAAACTTAACATATAAAAAGTCTCTCTTAGTAAGAAAACGAATACAAGTTTCTTTATTTAATTTAAACCGTCAATTACATAAATTTTTATTCACTCCTACATATTTAGTTAATAAGATCTAGAATCCGGCTCATTTCCATGATAATAAGTATTTAAACTAAATTTTACTTAAAATCTGAGATTATAGATAAAAAGTAAAATAAAATCCATCAATTTACCATATAAAGTACTAAAAATAACTGATAACTTCAGCAGTAACACAGTAAAATCTCATATAAATTAAACTCTCAATTTTATAAAAAACAAGCATTGATCTGCCACTAAAAAATTTCACATATAAAGAGGTCAGATTAACAATAATATATAAATAATAGAATAGACTAGAAACTTAAAGGAAAAAAATGTCATAGTTTAAAATATATAAAGCCACTAACATGATAGTTAATAAAAGGAATCATTATACTTACATTTAGAATTAAACTCAAACAATATACTTTAACTCCAAAATAAGATAACTATACTACACAATAAAAAACATAATAACTTTAAAAAGTAATATAAATTATACTCTGGAAAAAACGATTTCTTCAGAAAATCGAAGCTTTATTTTTCATTTGTCTCGAATGGGAATTTGATGCAAGTGTTCTGAAAATTTTCAAAGCTGATTTTTTCATTTTTCGAAAGAACAGAAACTGAGTTTTTCATTTTTCAGATTCCTATTTGGGACATCTGTTTTTCAGAAAACATGAGGATCGAAAAACACGTGTCTGTTCTTCTTTTTTTCAAAAAAACTGTATCTGAATCCTTCTTTTCGCTATCCAAAGGAGGAGGGCGGATAAGGTAGGTTTCCCGCACCCAATGGAATTGCATTTTTTCTATCAGAAACATGTCAGGGGATTATTTGAAACATTTTGTACCACTTAGTTTTTCAAAATTTGCAGTAAAACTTTTTCGTCACGAAAACTCAATTTTTTTTTATTTTAAAGGCGATATTCGCAATCAGCATAAAATTCTACATCTAGTCCATGTATTATTACAGAAATGTGAGAAAAGAAGTTTTCCTAAAATCCTTTGGGGGACCAAAGGCGTCAAAAACCTTCCAAAAAAATTTTGAAAAACTAAGTGGTACAAAATGTTTCAAATAATCCCCTGATATGTTTCTGATAGAAAAAATGCAATTCCATTGGATGCAGGAAACCTACCTTATCCGCCCTCCTCCTTTCTTTTCATCAACACTGTATCTCTGATTATATGCTAAATTATCTTTTATACTGTATAAATATTGTCAACTGAAGACGAACGCTAAATGTCCAGGCGAACATTTAGTGAAAAATCGAGAGTACACATTTTCGAAATTTAAATAGTGTCAAATATACTTTTATTTAGGAGCTATCTAATGGCACTAAAATTTTTCTTCCAAGTGCTGATACTTTGGAAAACATTAAGGAACGAAAAACAATCTAGAAAATAGTGACCTTCTAAGACAAGCCATTTTTTTCTGCGATTAAAGCAATTTTAAATCATAAATTTGACATATTTCAAACCCATAAACTGTTAGCTGTCGAACTACCGAAACGTTTTTTAATTAGGACATAATCTAGCGGATAAGTAACGGTTTTTCTCAACACATTGATGACGGGTGATGAGAAAACTCGTCCTTGTAAATACGAACGTTGTGAACCGATGACGAGTTTTCTCGTTTTTGTGCACATGCGTAATATTGTCACAATTTTTGAGATAACGGTTTATTATAACGGTTATTATTCAACTGTAGAAAATAGCCGATCTCTCCACTTTGTTTGTACGATTTTTTACCGGTTATCAATGTGTTAAGTGAAGTTATTTTCCCAACTACTGTTTGCAGTACAGTCACATCGCTAAAGCTCGCTAAGGTTCAAACTGGCTTAAAGTTATACCAAAATGTTCTCAGACATATAATCTATCTAGGATGAATACACAAAGATACGCATATCTATCCAAGTTGAGCTATTGGGTTGATGAAACAGCTTGGTTTTTAAGATAAAATCTATTTTTCTCAGCTCAAGAACACTTTTATCGAAAATAATAATATATTCGGAATCAGCACAGGGAACTGCACCGAATGACTTATAACCTGGTCATTTTCCGAGTAAAAACTTTTTCGACAAAAATTTAGGGCAAGGACCCCCTATGCGATTTCTCCAAATTAGGGTTTTTCTAATTTATAATAATATTTCAAATGTAATAAAGTTGTATGAAGCAAAAATGATCTTTTTGAATTAAAAAAATCACATGCCCGCCTGGTCTATAGAACAATGCCCACTGTGCTGCATCAGTACAGAGAACTATGTAACCCTCATCCTACCCCCACAGACGTTTGGAACCTGATTCGACCCGGATCGTATCGCGTTCCAAACGCTGTAGGAACTCGATTCGTAGGGTTTGAGCTCTGTTGTCAAAAACAAATATGTTCTCAAAGTGTGTACGTTGTTGTATATAAAGAGAAATTTCTAAGAATCAGTTTAAGTTTTTATAAGGAAAGTCTTGCGCCTTATATGTATCAGGAATCGCAAAACAAAAAGGATGATCGGCGTATGTGATTTTCTTTTCTTTGTACTAACTTCGATATCTCCACAGAATTCAACAAAATCATTGTGCTTTGCAAAACTTGAAAAGCAAAATTTATGAAGAACTAAAATGAGCCGAAAAACTGAAATGAATGAAAAACTCATTTTTTTATTGAAAAATAAAACTTAAATTCTTCATATTTCAAAGAACATGAGGAACACGTTTTTTTTAGAGTGTAGAGCCTAACACTGTTAATAAGAAAAAAGACACCACCCTAGGAATCTCGTCAATCAAGCTCAATAAGCCTTTGTTAACTTTTTTTTCTAAGGAGTATATTGTGGCACTCATTTGATTATCTGGCACTGACTTACTTCATACAAAGAAGATATCTCTTTAGAAGTTTCTGTCGATTTGTCTTTTGAATTTATTGTCAAAAAGCAACAACAGTCCCTACTCACTTTTCTCAAATTCTGTTTTTTCTTTCAAGCTGTTTTTCTCCTTTTTGACTATCTACACATGTTCTTGCTTTATTCGGAACGAGATAAAGAATAATACAGCGTGGTTCCTTGATCATGATTTCAATCTTTGTACTTTCCTTTCTTAACAAAGTTTATATTGACTGTTATGTGGGTACTTCCGCACAGGTCCGCCCAGTATTATATGAGCTAAAACCCAGGAAGCTTTCACTATATGCAATCGATGGTCCTGCTAAAGATATGTAAAGACTCCTATCACCCATGGAAAGATTATTGCGAACACAGTTTTTCCTCGGCTATAAGTTCTGAATTGAAGCGTTTTTAGGGGTGCCAGAACAGCGAAATCTGACCTTATCTAATACTATCATGCGTTCTCATACTGCTAGTTGGAAAGAGCATATAAAGCTGCATATTTCCATCCGCAAATGAGATTTTCTCTCTGATATTCGGAAAGAATTTTTGACTGGAAGATCTTATCTGCATTAGCAGATATCACTCGTTTTATAGCGTGTTGGAAGAGCTCAAAATCTAACAAAACAGAACTTTATTTATATTCAAATGAAAGCGGCTTTCTAGTTTGTTCGTATGACGCAGCAATGAAGTCTCTAGTACTCTTTACTTCTTTATGGTAAACGTAGCCGTGAAGTCTACGTTGGCCTACTCTCTCGAAAACTACACGTCAGTTCTTCCAGATCTTGTTAGCACACACACTACCCGAATAGTGCTACAAGAGCCGCAAGGCATTGACTTTGGCCAGGTGGTTTTTCTTCTGGCAGTTTTCTAGAAATCCCGTCAAAATTCTGTCATCTGGCTAGGTTCAGGAACGGGAAAAAATACTAGATTACCCATAAAATGAGCTGAATCCGAATTTCAGATTAGTTTGGATTAAATATTTATGAGCAATTGAGGATTTGTGTTCGGAACAATTTTTCCATGGGGCGGTATGGGTCTTTACATACCTTTAGTAGGATTATCGATTGCATATAGTCAAACCCTTCCGGCTTTTAGCTCATATAATACTGGGCGAACCTATGCGGAAGTACCCATGAAACAAAACATTTTAAAATAATAAAAGAGTTCAATTTTGAGGCACATCAGTGTTGAATGTCATTCTTTCAAGCTATGGATGAACCTTAATAAAAGAATGATGAAAATCAAAAGTAGGAGAAGCCCTGCGTTTTTACTACTAGTGTAGTTTATTCAAAACCATAATTCCCGTACTCCTCTATATGGAATCCAAAGGTTTGTTCTCTAACTCTGAGCGTGTTGTAGCGGTTACGTACATCTCCTACAATAAAAAAATGCCTTAGAGAATCATTGATAATTTTTTCCAGATTCTTAGAAACGTTAACGTAAATGACATACAATAAGTTCTCTGGCAATAAAATTTGAGATGGAATGATGTTCCCTGATTCGAGTGCCTAAACGGGTAATTATTCAGATGTACAGACTGAAAGTTTTACCTTTAAACCACTAGACCTATGATAATGAACTCAAGACATTGACCTATTTGCTAGTTTAGTAGTGTGACCATGTTATATTCTCGTTGATAATAGTTGCTGCTTTGTTTTTGTTTCTGTCTTGATTTTTGTTTGATATGATGTACAAGAGTCATCATATTTATTAACTAAATCTTCCGAATGTAATTTTTCATAATCTCTTATAAAATTCCACACAGTCATTATTGCAGTATGTTCTTGAGTAGTTTTTGATAAATATATTAGTTTATGTATAACAGGCATCCATTTAAGCTGGTATCTATCCCATGAAAAACCCAATGTTATTGAGTTTATTAGTTGTTGTAATGTAAAACGGCGAAATGAGGCATCAAGTTGTTCATAATGTGAATGTATTAAATCATTTATTGGTGTTAATGATACATTTAATTTCAATTGAATCAAATATCCCATATAAACATCATCATTGACACCAAGCTTTATACAATTATTAGAAAATGCAGTTTTATTTACATAGAATTTCAATTGATTTAATAATTGTTTTGAATAACAAACACCGGCACCATATGTTGCAAAACGAAATGTTACATTATAGAAATAAGATTCTTTTTGATTATCATACGTTGTACGTCCAATATAATACGGTTTAGATGCATCTAATTTATTTAAATACAAATATAAATTATCTAAATTAATATAATGATCATCATCAAATCGACACATCCAATCAAATGATAATTTAATTATTAATGTTAAATTATAATACAATTCAAATTCACTAGCTGTTTTACAACAAAGATCATATTTACGATGTTTTTTTGGACAACCTGTTTCAATAATATTTACAAATTTTTGATATGATATTGAATTATGAACATATTGATCCGTTAAAAGATATAAATTTTTTTCTCGTTGTTCTATTTCAGTTGATGGTATCCAACTTGAAAGTAAATATTTTAAACGTGACTCACAATGATGTGATGTACGAATTAATATAAGTGTACGTTGAGATATCGGAGATGATGTAGACATAGAAGACCATAATACTGTTTTGACTAAGGGAAGATGCTGTTGTAGGAACAAGACAGATTTTTTGAACTGTATTGAGAATGCCAAATATAACAATAGAATTAAACAAAATATACCAAATAAATTACGTTTAAATCGTTGAATATGTCGATACGATAAACAAAACATTTAAATCTGATTAACTATGCGACATGATTCTGAAATGTATATTATAAAATATATTACAAGCACAGTTGAACTTTTTTCGTAAAAGAGACGTAACAATTCTAAATTAACATTTTAAATCCAATAAATTTCGGAAATGAACAAAATCAATATTACTTCATAAGATAGAAATACATGCTACTATCTTATCTTTTTGAACTAATTCCTAACCCAGTAAGGCCACAAACAAAATATACTCTTTGTAGCCAATACTCAAATAGACGAACATTATCTAAGAGACGTTGATATAAGTTTTATTCATTCTATCAGAATACAAGCGGAAAATATTCCATTATAGTATTCTAAACTAAAACTATCGAAAAACACAAAATCAATTTTGTACGAATAGAGATTCGGACATGTGATATTAGCTTTGTAGTAAACTAAGAGACGTTTGGAAGCAGTTGACGATTCCTTTTTCTACCGAATATTTCGTGAACATTCTGAGTTACCACTAGAAACCTTAAACATGAAATCATTTTAAAAATAAATTATTACAGCACAGAAACGAAAGTTTCCCATTTTAGAAGAGCGTATGAGTGAAATCAATTATTGTCGTTGTCGAGGAGGACCCAAAAAGAAATAAAAACATTTTAGAAAACAAAAAAAGCACAAGGTTTAAAAACGTCTCTTTTCTAAGGAAAAAGTCTCTCCCTTCCTCGAAAGCCTAATTGACGTTTGTAAATCTATTTCATTAATTTAACTGATGCGATGTGGTCAGGTATCAAGTTTCAACGCATCCTGTCAGTTGCGAGAAAAGCATATTTGTTGATCTAACTGATGCGGACATTACTTAGAATCTAAATGATGGCTACCTTTTTTGCAATGTATTCCTATAAATGTGGTACAGTTCATCCTCTACTCATTCACAACTCCTCATTGCAATAAAAATGCAAGCTTCAGACTTACCAAAACCGTTTTCTCTTGGAAAATTTACCATGTTATAATCAATTACCTATAATCAAAGACAGCGTCTTTACATTTCTTACCTATCACAGAAGAGCTGACATTTCAATGCACTTACATAGCATATGAAACACTATAGTATACGATAGCAGTTAATGAGAGACAATCAAAGACCAGAGACTTAATTTCAACATTATTGCAGATAAGTTATGCTAGTCATCAAACTGTCTACTTCCACAACGTTTAACTTGATCGAAACCTAACCGGTTAACATATGATCGATGGCGTCATTTTGTATTATGTTTCTTAAGGCGAACGTGCACGGGTGAAAGAACGTGCTATTATTTGTCACTACCATTGACTTATAGTTTTAGAAAAAACTTAATAGCACATATAGTTTAACTTGAAAGACGGTCGATTTACGTAATCTTACATTGGCGAAAGTGCATACTCCGCCAAATTACAAAGTCACTACTGCACTTTTCCTTGATCACTTAAAATCGAAAACTTTTTCTTTTACGCCGAAATGTATCAGCATTCATTTCTGATTGAAATGAGACGCATCGCTTGTGTCAACTGTTATAGCAGGTGTCTGTTTCTGTTGTGAACTGTTACTGTTACGAACTGTTTCTGTTAACAGCAACAGGTGCATGCCCAAACGTGTCTAACAATTTTCTTCTTATTTACTTACACACACCTCAGCAGCATTTTGGATGTATCCTTCACGAATCTTCATCACTTCTTTATCTTTTTTTTTGACTTTTATGTACTTTTCTTTTAGCTTATCAGTTGTGGTTTACCTTTCTTTGCCGTTCTTTTCAGATTAGTTTGGATTCAATATTTATGAGTAATTGAGAATTTTCCAGTGCTTCCACTCGAGTGATTTCAGCAGTTTCGGGTGCCAAGTTAGAAATAAAACCCTTGTCAGAGCAACCTCTATCTTATTTGAGTTACAAGTTGATACTTTAATTATGTATTTTTATTTAAACATATTTAAAAATCTTTAACAAAACAAGCGTTTCGACCTCTTTTATTGAGATCTTCTTCAGTGAAAGTAATATAAAAATAGTTAAAATTCATTCTTTATAATTTTTCTCCTTTTGTTCGCGCAAACTATAGCTCGTATTCTGATCTCTATACGTTGTGTTGTGAGTATTATCCATTTCAAAAAAGAAAGTTCATGGCCATTTGTTTAATAACTTTTTCTAGGATGTGGCTACGAAGCTGCGGTTTTCGCTAGTCAAAAGAAAAATGTTGGGACCATAAGAAAAACCAAAAATTATTGTCCCAAAATCACCTGCAGGTGGTGCACCATGCGAAGATATTTTGCGAAAGATGTCACATCATTGAAAAAGTTTCGAATTTTAACTTTTGAGACGGCAGGTAGCCCGGAGTGAGATATTCGTTTCTAGAGCAGTCCCAGGCCGTTGGCTTACAAGGTTCCGGAGCTAGAAGTGTTCTCCGGAGACCACGCTAACTCGGTCCGGACACGTCAGAAGATCTCGGAAAGACTTGAAACATAGGTTACCGAATGTGCTGATCAACGTGGCAATGTTTGCTTTTGACTAGAAGTTGATCCAAGGTCACCAGGATATTTTTAATGAAAAAAACGGATTTTGCATGAAGCCTGTCAAAACTAGAGTTGCCGTATATCAGACATTTTAAGTCAGAAACACACCAAATTTTTAGGAAACACTTAGAATAGTGTATTGATGCTGAACGAGTTCTCAAATATGAGATTCAGCGGGTTTAAACGTCAGAAGGTTTGTGGAAACTTCCTGTAAAACCTTAGCCTGGAAAACCCACAATTTTGCAGTATTACAAGCGCTATCTGATTTATGGTCATTTTTCATATATCTACCGAAAATTTGGTGTGTTTCTGACTTAAAATGTCTGATATACGGCAACTCTAGTCTTGACAGGCTTCATGCAAAAATCCGTTTTTTCATTAAAAATATCCTGGTGACCTTGGATCGACTTCTAGTCAAAAGCAAACATTGCCACGTTGATCAGCACATTCGGTAACCTATGTTTCAAGTCTTTCCGAGATCTTCCGACGTGTCCGGACCGAGTTAGCGTGGTCTCCGGAGAACACT